TTAGAATCTATGTTTGCAGCAATTTATACTTCAACTCAGAAATCGCTGAAAACAACCCAGCCGTGGGAGTGTCTGTGAGCGGATAATAAAAGTTCCATTCAGCTAAAGAGATTTCAGCAAGGAATCCAGGGCAGGGACAATAAAAGGTAGCAAAGGCTTGGGATGGCAATGCCTGAAGAAGGAACCAAACCCATCCACTGAGGAGGAGCTAAGATTTTGTGAAAGCTTGGCTGACCCCCCCCCCCCCAATCCGGTTTCAAGGAATAGCAGAGAACTTGAAGCCTAACGGAAGGCAGAGGCGAGAACTGGCAGTGTGGAGGCGTGAGGCTGGGGGAAGGAGACGAGTGGCTGCCTCCTGCACCTTCCTGGTGGCGCTACGGAGAGACAGGAGTGCCCTTACACTTGTCTCAGCTGCAGTGACCTAGGGCAGGAAGGCAGTGCCCACTCGCCGTGCAGATGTCCGGCTGCTCACTGGTGAAGGCAGTGCTTGGCCAAAGATGAGGCCAGGTTTGCATCTGCTCTGTCCCCTGTGGAGAATGCCAGCGTAGGTCATCGCAAGAGTCCATCTCAAGAATCTCATCCTCTAACAAAGGCTCTGGTCGTGTTGACACGGCTGATGGTGCTTAAGGGACCACAGTTTCAGAATCCAAAGAGTCTTCTCTTACCAAGCCCCTCCAGCAGTGTCACAGTGGTCGTGTGAGCGGAAGCTCTTCAAAAAGTTTGCGGGAAACATGTTACGAAAAAACTAGGACTGCATTTCAAAATTTTTATAGTTATATTTTATTTTACTTTTCCAAAACTTCTCTTTGAATTTGAAAGGCAGGGTCAGGTGGAAGACTTCCACCTGCTGCTTTACTTCTCAGATCCCCCACAACTTGTAGGGCTGGGCCAAGCCAAAGCCAAAAGCCCAAAACTCAATCCAGGTCTCCTACAGGAGTAACAGGGACCCAAGTACTTAAGCCACCATCCGCTGCCTCCCAGAATCAGCCGGGGAGCCAGGACCCAGCCCAGCACCCCGATATGGGATGTAGGCATCTCAAGCAGCAGTTGAACCATCGCACCACAGTGCCTATCCCCATTTTCCACAAACTTTCAAAGTATCCTTTTCACAGGTTATCACTTTACTAGGACAAGCTCTTTTTTTTTGAAGAGCTACTGAATTTCAACATCACAACTGTTAGATTAAAGCACTTCCATGACAGTGGTGTTAAAATAGTTTCCATCTTCACCCTTTCCCTCCATTCTTCATAGTGACGGCTTGCGAAATATATTAAAATTCTGCATATGAACCTGACAAGACAACATGAATGAACGGTTTATTAAAAGGAAAAGATTCCAGCTGGTGCTAAGTATTGAATGCCAGCTGCAGTAAGCAAGCCACTAGGAAGAGGGCACTGTGGCATCGCATCCCCTTGGGCACGGTAGTGAAATCAGAGTAAGGCTTGCAGGGCCCATGCACTTCACCTCTCCTCAGAGTGTTACAGGGATTTCAGCTGACAGCGTCGCAACTTCTGTTGCCCAAGACGTCTCTACAACCTGCTTAGTGCGCCCCCTGCCAATTCCACTAAAGGTTCTTCCTTTGAGGCTCATTATTGTTGAATAATGTGTTCCAGCCAATCCATCACATGGTTCTCCTAACATAAAAGAAGCCCCAGTTTTTAAGGGTGATTTCAAGCCAGTTTTACAATAGAGGGCTGATTGGGTAGGAATAGTTTGTGACTTAAGGTGTTCTAGTCCATTAGGGACACTTGCTTTTGGCCATATTGAATCTCAAGGTAACTCAAGGGCCATTTATTAAGTCAAAAAATGCTATTGACAAATGGCAATTATTCTGTGATCATTGGGGTTATTCAGATTAATGTTATAATAAACCAACACCCAAACATGATTTTAAAACTCTGTCTCTTATAGATGTGGTGTGAAGTCTTCATAAAAGCCAAAGTGACACTAAAATCTTATCGATTCAATATTGGTGAACTCAAAATAGAGCCCAAATTGAAGCAACTCTTTATTCCTTAGCCACATGACTAAGATTTATCCATTACTGTACTCGGAATAGCATATAAAATACATTTTGATGAAAAAAAGACAAACTGAAGTATAAAATTTTTTTTGACAGGCAGAGTTAGACAGTGAGAGAGAGAGACAGGGAGAAAGGTCTTCCTTCTGTTGGTTCACCCCCCAAATGGCTGCTACGGCCAGAGCGCTGCACCGATCCGAAGCCAGGAGGCAGGTGCTTCTCCTGGTCTCCCATGCGGGTGCAGGGCCCAAGCACTTGGGCCATCCTCCACTGCCTTCCTGGGCCACAGCAGAGAGCTGGCCTGGAAGAGGAGCCACTGGGACAGAATCCAAAGCCCCAACAGGGACTAGAACCCGGGGTGCTGGCACTGCAGGTGGAGGATTAGCCTAGTGAGCCAGGGCGCCGGCAAAGTATAACTTTTTAAATGAGCTCTAACAGACCCCCATAAGGAAAAATACATAATGATCAGCCAATAAGAAGAGAAGAATGGATGATGTTTGTAAATAAATATGGTTTTCAATAGTGCCTAAAACGCTTTCTGGAACGTCGAAATCAGACTTCAAGTACTGTGCTGCAGGATTTGAGCCCTCACACTGAAGAGGGGTTAGAAAGTATCCAATTCTCAACAGGGATCACATTTCAGTTAATTTTCAACACTTAAGAATAACTGTGCATCAATTACAGATCTAAACCAGTCATATTAAGTAGAACAGATAACAAAACTACTAAGAGGTATAATGTATTTAGTTGTTCATTAACAGTCAGGGCTATGCTGATCAAGCCACCATTTCCCATAGTGTCCACCTCACTCCAACAGGTTTCCCTCTTGGTGTTCAGTCAGTCGCCAATTCTCTTTCAAGAATCTTATTTGACAGCAACCTAGGAAATCATGGCTTCGTGAGACAGACTTTTATTTTCCTTGCATGTTGCAGGACTCTCAAAGTTGAGCTGTTGCTGGCTGGTTTGGAGTCTCCCATTCTAAAAATTATTCCTTGAGGTTGGGGCTGGCGCCATGGTGCGGCACTGGCATCCCATATGGGTGCCGGGTTCTAGTCCCAGTCGCTCTTCTTCCTGTCCAGCTCTCTGCTGTGGCCCGGGAGTGCAGTAGAGGATGGCCCAAGTGCTTGGGCCCTGCACCCACGTGGGAGACCAGGAAGAGGCACCTGGCTCCTGGCTTTGGATCGGCATAGCTCCAGCTGTTGTGGCCATTTGGGGAGTGCACCAACAGAAGGAAGACCTTTCTCTCTGTCTCTCTCTCTCACTGTCTGTAAATCTACCTGTCAAATAAATAAATAATAAAAAAATTTTAAAATTATGCCTTGAGATTGAACGATGATGGCTAACACTATGCCCATACGGATTCCAGGTAGCAAAGAACAAGAAATGAAGGAAAGGATAAAAGGACAATGTCTGTATCGTGCAGGCACAGACTTGATGTCCCAGTAGGTATCCACTGACTTCTCACTGGTGGAAAGTGGTCAGTGTCCTCCTCTACCCAACAGGCTGAAGCGACAGCCGCTAGCTGGCTCAGTACCAAACCTTGCAGACTTAGTCTGGTAATAAAAAAAGAGGTGAGGCAGGTGTTTGCCTGGCTGTTAAGCCACGCACTTCCCACATGGAAGTCTGATCCTGGCTCCACTGCAGATTCCAGCTTCCTGCTGAAGCTCACCCTAGGAAGCAGGTGATGGCTCAAGTAACTGAGTGTCCCTCGCACCCACGTGGGAGACTCGGACTAGGTTCTTGGCTCCAGCTTTAGCCTGGTCTAGCATGGCTACTGATATGATTTGGGGAGTGACTCAGCAGATGGGCTCTCTCTCTCTCTCTCTCTCAACAACAACAACAAAAAATATACATTCAAAACTGCAACACTGTGTATGTTTTGTAATAATCCTAGAAGACAGTGTTCCTTCTAAGTACTTACAAACTAGTACCACAAAGAAGCAATAGGGAGCCGTTGCCACGGCTCACTAGGCTAATCCTCCGCCTTGCGGCACTGGCACACCAGGTTCTAGTCCCGGTAGGGGCGCCGGATTCTGTCCCGGTTGCCCCTCTTCCAGGCCAACTCTCTGCTGTGGCCCGGGAGTGCAGTGGAGGATGGCCCAAGTGCTTGGGCCCTGCACCCCATGGGAGACCAGGAGAAGCACCTGGCTCTTGCCATCGGATCAGCGCGGTGCACCGGCCGCAGAGCGCCAGCTGCGGCAGCCATTGGAGGGTGAACCAACGGCAAAGGAAGACCTTTCTCTCTGTCTCTCTCTCTCTCACTCTCCACTCTGCCTGGCAAAAATAAATAAATAAATAAAGAAGAAGCAATAGGCAGAAACCTAAAGGGAATGTTTTCTGAAAATTATACAATATTAAAACTTTCTCCTTCGTGTTACAGATGAGGAAACTATTTAATTCATTTGGCGAACAGGAAATTATCTTTGTTTTCATTTATTATCTATTTAAATTGTATACAATTCTGTAGGTTAAGATTTTGTTTGTCTCCGAACATGAAGATTTCCTTGAATATTAGAGTATCATCCGAAATTGAAAAGATTTTTTTTTTAAGATTTGTTTATTTATTTGAAAGACAAAGTGACAAAGAGCGAGGAGGAGACGTAAAGAGAGATCTTCCATCAGCAGGTTCACTCCCCCAAGTAGCTGCAATGGCTGGGGCTGGGCCAGGCTGAAGCCAGGAGTCAGGAACTCCATCCAGGTCTCCCACATAGGTGACAGGGACCCACGCATTTGTGCTCTCGTCGGCTGCCTTCGCAGGCACAGTGGCAGGGAGCTGGTTCGGAGGAAGAGCAGCCGGACTCAAGCCAGCGCTCCGGGACGGGATGCTGGAGGTACAAGCAGCCGCTTAACCTACGTGTCGTAATGCTGCTACCAGGGTTTCATGTTGCTGCCTCTGTTGAGGATCTGTGTTGGGGGGACCGTGGAGCGTGGTATTGCCTACAGAAACTCGGTTTTGAATGTGACTCCGTTCTGGTTGCAGTGGGAGAAACTGCAGATGACCACGAGTGAGAGGAGGAAAATATTCTGCTCTGTGACGTTCCACGTCATCGCCATCACCTGTGTGGTGTGGTCCTTGTATGTGCTCATAGACCGCACGGCGGAGGAAATCAAACAAGGCAATGACAATGGTAAGAGCGCACGTTTCTTCTTTTCTCTCGCTTGGGTTCTAATGAGGCTGCCCAGAGGTGGACGGGGAAGCCCTTTCTCAGTGTAGGTTTCCACGTGTGCCACGCTGGCAGCAGCCTGGCAGTTGGAGGCATAAACTACGGGGTCCCAAACTGAGCGAGGAGACGTGTTGAGTTCATGGAGAGCTTAGTGAGGAGAAACATACCAAAAGTCTACAGCCCCCGAGGCTTTTCTCCCCTGCCTTGTGTGGACAGGTTTTTCATGTTACTGAATTTATCCTACTCATACCTTCTTTTAAAGTGCGAACAAGATGGCACTCTAGCAAAGACGTATTATACCAGGGTGCTTCCAAGAAGTTCGCAGGAAATGGAATGAAAATACAAGTTTATTTTAGTGCAAAAAATTTACTGCAATCCATGTATAGTTTCTTCATTACATGCATCTCATGAGCTTTGTGAAGAACCCTCGTAGCGCAGTGAGTGCCCTGTGATTTGATAGGACACGTCTGCTCCCAGGTTGACATTTCAGCCAGGCCAGGCTTGATCGTGAAGGGCGGTGCCAAGTCTGTGAAGAAAGATGTTTCAAAATCTTCAGGCTTATTCTTAACTTTTAAAATGGATGAGGGGACCGGCGCCACGGCTCACTAGGCTAATCCTCCGCCTTGCAGTGCTGGTACACCGGGTTCTAGTCCCGGTCGGGGCGCCGGATTCTGTCCCGGTTGCCCCTCTTCCAGGCCAGCTCTCTGCTGTGGCCAGGGAGTGCAGTGGAGGATGGTCCAAATGCTTGGGCCCTGCACCCCATGGGAGACCAGGAGAAGCACCTGGCTCCTGCCATCGGATCAGCGTGGTGTGCCAGCTGCAGCGCGCCGGCCACGGCAGCCATTGGAGGGTGAACCAATGGCAAAGGAAGACCTTTCTCTCTGTCTCTCTCTCACTGTCCACTCTGTATGTCAAAAAATAAAAAGCTGTTGTGGTGTAGCAGGTGAAGCTGTCACTTCTGACGCCAGCATCCCATATGGACGCTGGTTCGAATCCTGGCTACTCCACTTCCAATCCAGCTCCCTGCTAATGGCTTGGGAAAAGCAGCAAAAGATGGCTCAACTGTTTGGGCCCCTGCCAGCCACGTTGGAGACTGGATGAGGCTTCTGGCTTCAGCCTGGCCCAGCGCTGGCCCTCGCATCCATCTGGGGAGTGAACTAACAGATAGAAGTTCTCTCTCTCTCTCTCTTCCCTCTATTTCTGACTTTCAAAATAAGTAAACATTTAAAATAAAATAAAATGGACAGGTCAGTTTGAACAGAGGCGGAAATAGGAAACACATGGCTATCAAACAGTGTGTATTTTCACTTCTGAAGGTCCCAGTTCTTCCTCGTTGGGCCCTCTGAGCCTTTGTGTAGTATCCAGCCTGAATCACAGCTGGCGCACCAGGAGAAATAGCCCGCCCATCTCTCTAGAAACAATGTTAAGTCACTAATGAGTTGAACTGAGAAATGGCTCAGGTCGGTAACATGGTAAGTTTGTAGCGTTACGAAATTAACATGTGGCCCCCTACAAAAAGAAGAAACTGAAACAATGATAAATTAGAGGAGAAAAGAAGGAGGAAAAATTGTAGAAGAGGGAGGTTTATTCCTCTGTGCTTTTTCGCCTGGATGCATCAAAATGCGAGGGAGCATGTTGCATTCCCACAGCTGCCCGCTTGGGGGCAGCGATGTGCACCTGCGTGTGCTGGCTAGGAGCCTTCCCGAAGCCCGACGGGGCTCACCTGCGTGAGGTTTAGCTTGCGGAGAGGAAGCGAGGGGTGGCAGGAGGAAGAGAGGAGACGGAGCTGCAGAATCTGTGTAGTTTCCTGAGACAGCGACAGCACCAGGTCCAAATGCTGGGGGAAAAAAAGGAGGGTTGGGTTTCTGTGTCTGTTTTTTTGCTCTTATTTAACATTCACTCAGTTATTATACTGTAGCATTTGTATCAAGCTATTGTTTGTGGTTGCATTATGTATCAGTCCAGAAATGAATATTTATTTTTAGATTGTTTTTTTAAACTTTATTTTCACGATATTTGAGAGGCACAGAGACAGAGAGAGTTCCTTTCCTCTGGTTCACTCCCCAAATGACTGCAACAGCCAGGGAGGTCTGGGCCAGGCCAAGCCCAGGAACCATAAACTCAGTCTAGGTCTCCCATACGGGTGGCAGGGACCCAAGCACTTGAGCCATCTTCTGCTGCCTGAGGGAGCATTAGCAGGAAGCTGGAATCATGAGTGGGGCCAAGACCCAAACCCAGGCACTCTGATAGGGGATGCCAGCATCCCAGGCAGCGTCTTAAGCACCAGGACAAATGCCTGCACTTGTCGTATGTTTTCATTTGACAACTACAACAGTTTCTTAATTAGACTTTCTCCAGCCTCGCCTCCCTTCAGCTGATGCTAATGTGATCACAGCAAATTTGCAAAAACATGAATCTGCTGCCGTTCCTCTCTCTACTTGGCCGCTACTCTTAATGTAGAATGTGGACCCCTGGCTCTGCACGGTGGGATTCTGCTGCCCCACCAGACTGCAGTCAATTAGGCTGAACTTGCTTCCTTCAGCTCCTCGGATTTCCAGACTCTTGCTGCACTTCCTCTCCGTGGAAAATGTTCGCTCCCAGCTTCCCTCGTTCACCACCACTGCGCACACGGAAACCCTGAGATGTGTGAGCTCCCTGCGTCCCTGGCCCCGACTCAGCCTTTGCAGTCCTCCGAGAAGCGGGTTCAGTTTCTGGACTAGGATGAGTGTTGTTCCTAACACAGTGAATCTCAAGGTGTGCTTCTAGGAATAGCAACATTAGCATCACCAGAGCCCTTGTTAGACCTGCGAATTTTGACCTCCCACCTGCCTCGACCTATACAGTGGAGCCCAGCAATTGGGGCTCAAGATGCCTGCAGGTGAATCTAGTGCCTGCTAAAGTTTGAGAGCCATTGCCCTACCACGTCCCCTCCCCCCCACCCCCCCGCATCGTGCACTTAACACATGACGGCGCTCCACTGCGATCGCATGTCCCACTTCCTGTGAGTGACACCCTGAGACCTGCATTGCAGCCTCATAGATACAAAATTCAGCATTCCTGGGGCTGGTGTTGTGGCATAGTGCGTTAAGCTTCCACCTGCTGCACTGGCATCCTGTATGGGTACTGCTTTATGTCCCGGCTGCCTCACTTCTGATCCAGCTCTCTGTTGTGGTCTCGGAAAGCAGTAGAAGATGGCTCAAATGCTTGGGCCCCTACAGCCACGTGGGAGACCGAGAAGAAGCTCCTGGCTTTGGATAGGCCCAGCTTGGGCCATTGCAGCCAACTGGGGAGCAAACCAGTAGATGGAAGATCTTTGTCTCTCCCTCTATCTATAACTTTGCCTTTCAAATAAATATTTTTAAAAATTCATCCTTTCTGTGATTGTACCTTGCAGCAATGATAAGATGCTCTGCCCTACTTTGTGGTTAGTGCATTATTTTAATTGCTCATTTGCATGTCTCCCTTCTGCCCAGAGCAGGTTGGTGCCTGGGACCCAGCAAGTGGCACAGTGTTGTTGAAGGAATGATGAAGTGTGCCTGCCTTGTACCCAAGTTTTTGTAATTCCTAACTTGGCTTTTAGATTTTTTTTAAGTCTTTGTTTCCCAGTTCTGGATGAGGGCAGGATTCCAGGTCAGTCACCCAGTGGACTGTCACCCAGGTCTTCCAGATTCCCCAGTAGAAGAGCTTGGAGAGTAAAGGGTCGGCTTTCACCTATATATGAAGTAGATATATCATTTATATAAATCTTCCATTTCTTAAAGGTAACTGAAATGTGGTCATTTTTATTTCTGGTGTTCAGAGCTTTTCGATAAGTAACGGGCTATTTACCAAGCAGCAGTGTCCTGGCTACTGCTGCAGAGCCCTTTGTCAATGAACAGTTCTTAGAACACAAGGCAGTTCAGATGGAAACCATCGTGACTTTTGTAAAAGGTGTCATCTGTATTTATGTTTAAAATGCACTTAGAAGCTAACTTTCCAACGTAGACATTTGAAGGGAGTGTGGACATCTGAATGAATAGTTATTTTTAATTTAATTTTTTACTTATTTATTAGAGGGGAAAGACAGTTTCCGTCCACTGGTTCACTCCCCTAAATGCCTGCATCAGCTGGGGCTAGGCCAGGCCAAAGCTAGGAGCCGGGAACTCCATGCAGGTCTCCCACACAGAGGGGTCAGGTTCTCAATTAGTTGAGCCATTACTATTACCTCCCAGTCTGCATTGGCAGGAAGCTGACATAAGGAGACAAGGCCAGACACTGACCCCAGACACTCTGATACAGGATGCAAGCATCTTTTTAAATTAAGATTTATTTATTTATTTGAAAGGCAAAGTGGGGGGCCGGCGCTATGGCTCACTTGGCTAATCCTCCGCCTGTGGTGCCGGCATCCCATATGGGCGCCGGATTCTGTCCCGGTTGCTCCTCTTCCAGGCCAGCTCTCTGCTGTGGCCAGGGAGTGCAGTGGAGGATGGCCCAAGCGCTTGGGCCCTGCACCCCATGGGAGACCAGGATAAGCACCTGGCTCCTGCCTTCGGATAGGCACGGTGCGCCGGCTGCAGAGCGCCGGCCGCAGCAGCCATTGGAGGGTGAACCAACGGCAAAGGAAGACCTTTCTCTCTGTCTCTCTCTCTCGCTGTCCACTCTGCCTGTCAAGAAGCAGAGGAGCTGCGATTCAAATCCACACTCTGATGTGGTAGTGGGCATCCCGAGGCATGGCTTCACCTGCTACACCACAACACCCACTCTGGCACGAGCCTGTTACCCAATGTCTTAGCCACAAGACCAAACGGCCACCCAGAATTACTAACCTTCCTTTGGCATGGGGACTGTGAGTGCTGATCCTCAGTGTACTTTTAAAGTTGTTGAAGAAAAGAACATAAAAGTCAACATATTTAAAATCCATCCTGAAAACCTTCAAAAATCTTTGAAGAGGAACAAATCATGCTTTTTCAAACATAACTGAGGTTGAATATAAAACAGCAAAACCATTTGAGCAATTATGACAGTACTGGAAGGAAAACATAATGCTTCATATTTATAAAAAATGGTTCTTTTAGATTATGCCTGATGCCGGTTAGCCTCTGACCTTACTCTTTTCCCCCGCTTTCTCCTGTAACATGGGGGGAAAAAAAAAACTGTTGCTTGGAACTTTAACCCTAAATTACCTTGCTACTAACTCTAACTTGGACAATAATTGTTCTCCAGCTTTATCTGTACATGATCTAGAATAATGTTTCAATATACTGTTTTTTTGTTTTTGTTTTGTTTTTTTTTTTTTTTTTTTTGGCAGGCAGAGTGGATAGTGAGAGAGAGACAGAGAGAGAGAGAGAGACAGAGAGAAAGGTCTTCCTTTGCCGTTGATTCACCCTCCAATGGCCGCCGCGGCCAGCGCGCTGCGGCTGGCGCACTGCGCTGATCCGATGGCAGGAGCCAGGTACTTCTCCTGGTCTCCCATGGGGTGCAGGGCCCAAGCACTTGGGCCATCCTCCACTGCACTCCCTGGCCACAGCAGAGAGCTGGCCTGGAAGAGGGGCAACCGGGACAGAATCCGGCGCCCTGACCGGGACTAGAACCTGGTGTGCCGGCGCCGCAAGGCGGAGGATTAGCCTAGTGAGCCGCGGCGCCGGCCTCAATATACTGTTTATGTTATAAACAAAACACAAAACTAGAGGCTGAGGCACAGACATTTGGCCAAGGAGTAGACACCGTATCCCACGTCAGAGTGCCTGGCTTCAGTACTTGCCTCTGGTTCCCGACTCCAGCTTCCTACTGAAATGCACCCTGCAGGATGGAGTGTTGACTCAAGTAATTGTGTTCCTGCCACTCACGAGGGAGACCTGGGTTGAGTTCCCACGTCATGGCTTCAGCCTCAGCCCAGGCCTGGTTGTCAGAGACATGGGAGTGAACTGGCAGATGGGAGCTCGCTCTCTCTCCCTCTTAGATGGATAAATAGATACATAGACATATGACAGATACGGAGAGGTAGAAATAAACAAAAAGGTGACAACAATTTACTAAAGATACTATAGGTGCAGTATAAAAGCTGCATTGAGAAAAAATGCATACCCCACCAGGGACTACCATATCAAATTGATTGTGTGACACTGATTCCCTGGGGAGCCCCTAAGGTCCTGCAGGGCAAGGTCCTTCCCTCATCATGCAGAGAGCAGTTGGCATTAGGAGAGGCTCAAATATTTTTGCTGTCTGTGGCTGATTCCAACAGATAAGAACCACCCAAATATAACAAACACTGGCTGGAGCTAGTTGTCAAAAGGCCAAGGTTCTTGATCTGCCCTAGTCACTGGTTAGTTATCCTGAATAAAATAATGAATCACGCTGATGGCCAGTTTCCTCATTTGTGAAACTGAGAAATCAAGCTATCTTCTGAATTCTTTCTGTGATGGGTTTTCCAAATCTTCATGAACCTGACCTTGCATCAGATAAATTGAAATGTGTTTAGATAAATAATGCACATACCATACACCTTAACTCAGTGATTATTACCATTAAAATAAGTTAAGGAAGAAGTTAAATATCTTAAAAAATTTGATGTTTTCCTTTAAAAAAAAAAAAACCTGTTTATTTGAAATGCAGACACACACACAAGATGGTCAGAGAGATCCCAACTACTGGTTAATTCCCCCGAATCTCTGCAGCACCCAGGGCTGGGTCATGCTGAAGCCAGGAGCCAGAAACTCAAAGCAGGTCTCCACATACAGGGCAGAAACGCTACTGCTAGAACTGTCACTGCTGCCTCCTGGGGTGTGCATTAGCAGGAAGCTGGAATCGTGGGGCTGGGACTGGAAACCAAGCTTCCATCATGGGACGCAAACTTCACAAGTGGCATTATGACTGCTGCACTGAACCCTGCCCTGTTGCTGGTTTTCAATACTTTGTCCAACTGAATAGGAGAAACGAAAGAGGAAGCCATGCCCTGCCTCAGTATCCCAGCCAGCCCCGTACATCACCCATCTTCACACATCCTATAACTCTGCATAACCTAGGCATCCTGTAAAGATAGTCCACCTTTCCAGAGATGCATTTTCTAGATGTGCACTGTTCTTACAGCTGTGCAATGGGGCACTTCTCTTCTGTGATTTGAAAAGGCTTTTAGATAGACTCCAGGTATCTCCTATCACATGATCTGCCACACACACGTGCAGTAGACTCCCAGACATCAATTGTAAAAGCTGGAAGGGACCTTGGGGATCTTTGTTTTTTAAGATGAAGAAATAGGTAATGTGTTTGATCTTCAACTATATTATAAATTCCCCCCTGGGATATTCTGGCTTATCCAATTTGACTTAAAAGCAGAGGAGAGATGTTACAGGACACCTGCATCCGTTTCTACCTTGGAGAGGGCTGGGGACTTTATCCCAGTGCCAAGGGAAATTCATTTTCAGAGAAGCAACATAGCTGGAAAGTAAATGAATAGGAAAGGGTTCCAGAGGAAGTGCAGTGGTCTGGCTGGCACTCATTGGGCTTCTCTGCTCCCGGATTAAGGTTTTCACTGACTGGAATCCAGGGGTGGGCTGAAGTCGGGTGAAGTCAGAGAGGTATTCATGGAAAGCAGCAATGATAGCTCTGTTGGCCGGCACCGCGGCTCACTAGGCTAATCCTCCGCCTTGCGGTGCTGGCACACGGGGTTCTAGTCCCGGTCAGGGCACCAGATTCTGTCCCGGTTGCCCCTCTTCCAGGCCAGCTCTCTGCTGTGGCCAGGGAGTGCAGTGGAGGATGGCCCAAGTGCTTGGGCCCTGCACCCGCATGGGAGACCAGGAGAAGCACCTGGCTCCTGCCATCGGATCAGTGCGGTGCACCGGCCGCGGCGGCCATTGGAGGGTGAACCAATGGCAAAGGAAGACCTTTCTCTCTGTCTCTCTCTCTCACTGTCCACTCTGCCTGTCAAAAAATTAAAAAAAAAAAAAAGCTCTGTTAATCTGCAGCTTACTCAACCACAGATGAGTACCACTGAAATCTCTCAGTAAGAACAACCACAGCAATTTACACCTATAAACATTTTCTTAGGTGCTGTTCATTCATTGTTTCACACTAACAGCCTATAAGTTGATAGTCCTCTTACCTCCATTTTTTCCCCAGAAACCTTTTAAGGAATATAGACTTCATACATTTCATGATTCCAACTTTAGGAGCATAGTGGTTGTTCACACCATGCCTTCCCTCCCACACTCCGTTCGCTCTTCCTTCTCCCTGGGTGTGGTAAATCTCTATCAGAGGGGAGGTTTTAATCAGCTCTTAGCATAGTCTCATGCTGACCTCCTATCCTTCAAGGAGGCCTATGCCTAGCACAATATTCATCCATGCTGCCACATAAATAATTCATACAGTCTTCTGTGTGAGCACACATCTAGCAGCAATGACTCACCAGGCAATCGGGGAGCCCTGGGCATGTGGAGCTGCCCACAGTGACGCCCCCGGATAACCAGCCACACCCATCACCCTCCCACACAGCCACAGTGTTTTCACAGTCCCAGCACACAGGCTCCCAGTCCTAAGTACCCAGCCTCCTGTCCAATACCCCTTCCAGACTGAGGTGTCTCCTCGCTGCTGGTTGTATGGACACAAGCTGGTACAGCTGTTGCTTATGTCAAAATTGGCACCCACTATCTCTCAGCCAGTTTCAGGACTGCCGTTCCTGGTGGCTGGGGAGAGAGAAATGTACCCCCCCCCCAGGATGGCAGGTATAATGTTGTCCCCACATGGCTCCAAGTCACACTCACACCAGGCTCTTCCCACAGCTGTATAACCAGTAGCTTGGGCTGTTGCAGTCTGGTCTCGTCTCACTCTCCAAAGCTGGTGCTGAGGCTCTTGGTTACTGGGGTCCTCCACGCAGATAGTTACCCTCTAATTTGCATGGATTTTCCTCTGCTGGTTTTAAACTCTTCCTTCAGATATTCTTTCCACTTTTTTTTTAAACTCTCTTCCCCTTGACTACAGCAGCATGCTCCCTCTGTATTCTGCTATCTTAGATCCACTGGTTCAGTACCCAAATGGCCACACAGAGCTGAGCCAATCCCAAGCCAGGAGCTTCTTCCAGGTTTCCTATGTGGGCGCAAAGGCTGCCTTCTGCTCTCCCAGGCTCAGCAGGGAGCTGATTCAGAAGCGAAGCAGCCAGGACTTGAACAAATGCCCACATGGGATACTGGCATTGCAGGTGGATGCTTAACCTACTATGCCAGAGCACCAGCCACCTGAGCATCTCTTTATATGCCTATTTTCTATATATTTCCTTTGGTGGGGTTAGTCAAATCTTTTGCCCATATTGTATAGTTTTTCTCCTTAAATGCTGAGCATTTTTGTACATTTTGGGTACAAGTCAGATCTATGCTTTGCAAATTATTTTCTCCATGTGTGGCTTATCTGTCCTTCCTCCCTTTCCCAGGGAGACGGAGACAGAGTTCTCATCTGTTGGTTTATTCCCTACATGCCTGCAATGGCAGAACCCAGGCCAGGGCCAAAGCTGGAAGCCAGGAAGTCAATCTAGGTCTCCCACACAGATGGCAGGTACCCAAAGACTTGAACCATCCCCCTGCCGCCTCCCAGGGTCTGCATGCAAAGAAACTGGAGCAAGAAGCCTGGAGCCAGACACCTGGACATCTTAACTGGTACCTTTACTGCTTAGTTAAACACTAATCCTTATTAGTTTATTCTTTCGCCAATACCACACTGTCTTGGCCTCGTGTGTAGGCTTGGAGGATTTAAAAGACAGTGTGACACAAGAGGATAAAACAGGGAGGAACAGCAAGTAAAACCTACCCTTCACTGGTTCATCCCCAAATGCCTGCAACAGACCAAAGGCAGGGACTCCATCCAGGTCTCTCACATGGGTGGCAGGAACCCAAGTACATCTACAGCATCTCGGGCCCATTAACGGAAGCTGAATCATAATAGAAACTGAACCCAACGCTCTGATACAGGATGCAGAAAAACCCAAGTGGCAGCCTAAGCCACTGTACTACATCTGCTCTGTGTAGCTTTATAGTAGGTTTGGAGTGGGACAGTGTCTATCCTCTAACCCTGTTCTGCTCCAGTGCTGCGTTGACTTATCCTGGTCATTTGACTTTGCACATGAACTTCAGACTGTTAAGACTACACACAGGCAATTTTAACTGGGATAGTGTTGAATCTATAGCTAAAACTCAAGAACTGATCCCTTGAGTATAGCTGTCTATGTGGATTATCTTTCTACTTAATTAAAATCACTTCTATAGTTTTCTTCTTAGATATATTTTGTAGGGTTTGTACCTAAGGTTTCTTGGTGATGGCTTTTTCATTTTGACTGGTACTATTATTGGTATAATGGTAACATTTGTAGTTCTAAGCTCTTGTTCAATGTTAGTGAGGAAGCAACTTATGTTTGTATATTGATTCTTGTATTCCACAACCTTGCTATGATTATTTTAAAAAACCAGTGTTTTTAAATTCGGAGACTGTTCACAGGTGCTATTGCTGTAGAAGATAGTTTCTTACTCCCCAATCTGTGTAGCTCTCATTGTTCTTGTGTTACTGCATCAACTAGTGTGTGATGCTGAATAGGGGACAGAAGAAAGGCCATCCTTAGCTAGTTCCCAGTCTTGGGGAGAAAGCTTCTTGATTCTCAAAGGTAAACATAGTGCTTACTTTTTCCCCCCGAGAGCGAGGAAGCACTAGGCATTCACCTCACTGAGGTAATTCTGTATGCCAAGAGGCTGACAGTTCTGTTCACCACGGATGACTTAAAAAAAATTGGATTCTGTCAAATGCCTTTTACCTCACTTACTAAGTTTTCTTCTTTCATTTGCCCTTGTGTGGAATACTGTGGAGTTAATTAACCAAAGACTTATTCCAGATATGTAAAACAGAACATTTAAAAGTCAGTTATAGTATATTATGTATTATCAATTTGCTAATATTTGAGAATTTTTGTGTCAATGTAAAAAGACATCTATCTTACAAGGTTTGATTTTGGTATTAGGTAAGACTAGCCTCAGCATGTCCCTACTTTAATTTTTTCCAAACATTACAAACAAATCCCCTAGCCTTCTGTCTTGGATGGACATTGTTGATTTGATTCTTCAGATGTATTGTTCTCTTTGTGTGAGCTTTGACTAATGATATTTTCAAGTACTTCCACTGGCTGGGATAAATATATATTCAAGATGAATGTGAAGCAATTTAACCATAAAGTTCTTACTAATTAGGTACTGGAAAACATTTCTTACTCAAAGCTTCCAGTAAATTCTACTGCGTTTATTTAATACACTGCAGAATTCTTCAGAATCAAATACTGAAAGGAGCACAAGAGGAATTAATTTTAGATCATCATTGTCAACAAAACAGGAAATTAGTGAGACATCTACAGCCGGGAGGTTTTTCATGTCAGGAACACAGTTCCTTTTAAGTTCAGAGTGTATTTTCTAATATTTCAAAGGACACGTTGGAGCCACAGTATTTTAAAAACATTTACTTGCATAGTTCAAGGGAGTCAGACCTCAAAAAAATGTCTGACTCGCCAAATGAGAACAGGTCCTTAAAAGAAGCTATTTTAAAAGCCACCATGGTTGGCCAGCACCGCGGCTCAATGGGCTAATCTTCCACCTAGCGGCGCCGGCATACCAGGTTCTAGTCCCGGTCAGGGTGCTGGATTCTGTCCTGGTTGCACCTCTTCCAGGCCAGCTCTCTGCTGTGGCCCGGGAGTGCAGTGGAGGATGGCCCAAGTGCTTGGGCCCTGCACCCCATGGGAGACCAGGATAAGTACCTGGCTCCTGACTTCAGATCAGCGTGGTACACCGGCTGTGGCGGCCATTGGAGGGTGAACCAACAGCAAAAGGAAGACCTTTCTCTCTCTCTCTATCCACTCTGCCTGTCAAAAAAACAAACAAACAAACAAACAAAAAAACCACCATGGTTACTAAGTTTGTTCACAGCAGAAAATTTTATCACATAGCTGGTCTGGTATATATTCATGTGTACTACGGATGTCCCAAATTTTCACTATTGTACTTCTAGAAATCTGTAAATAAGCCTTTTTTTCAGAAACACTTTGAATTATTTTTATTAATGGTGATGGTAATTAAGAGAAAATATTGATGTGCAGGAAAATAATCATTCTCATAGGCAAAGTATAAGATTTCTGAAACAAAGGACTAAAATCCTAACCCTTTTGTTTGTTCTCCCACCTCCTCCCCGCCCCATTCCTTTTAGAAGGAGGTGGAGAGGGGATCTGGATAAACAGGTCCACAGTATCTCCAGTGACTTTACCTTTAAAGGATTTCAAATCCTCATTCTTTGCCTTAAGTGTTTCGGAGAAGATAGTGAAAACACTTAACTATAAGGAATAAATGCCCAAAGTCTAATAAAATCACATCTGAAAATTACAGTAGCTCTCTGATGCTACGAGACAATTTAAGAGTGGCAGGTGAGGTCAGTGCCGCGGCTCACTAGGCTAATCTTCCACCTGTGATGCCAGCACCCTGGGTTCTAGTCCCGGTTGCTCCTCTTCCAGCCCAGCTCTCTGCTGTGGCCAGGGAGTGCAGTGGAGGATGGCCCAGGTCCTTGGGCCCTGCACCCCATGGGAGACCAGGAGAAGCACCTGGCTCCTGGCTTTGGATCAGCGCAGTGTGCTGGCCGTAGCAGCCATTTTGGGGGTGAACCAACGGCAAAGGAAGACCTTTCTCTCTATCCAAAAAAAAAAAAAAGTGGTAGGTAAGAAAATGTTTTCATGTCATTTTAACAGAGTATTTTAAAGGCATTAACCCAAACCAGGTTATAACCCTTAAGAATTGAACAATATATTCCTTATTCATATAACTTAGCAAGCAGGATGGTCCTGTAACAAGCTCCATTGACAAGTTGGTGAAAATATTCTCTTTTATTTCAAAGGTGTCCTTGAATGGCCATTTTGGACAAAACTGGTTGTCGTGGCCATCGGCTTCACGGGAGGCCTCGTCTTCATGTACGTCCAGTGTAAAGTCTACGTTCAGTTGTGGCGCAGGCTGAAGGCTTACAACCGGGTGATCTTTGTGCAGAACTGCCCAGACACTGCCAAAAAGCTGGAGAAGAACTTTTCATGTAATGTAAACACGGACATCAAGGACGCTGTGGCAGTGCCTGTGTCACAAACGGGGACAAACGCACTGCCATCTGCAGAGGGCGGCCCCCCCGAAGTTATACCAGTCTGACAGAATGACCGGCCCGGAGTTTCTTACTGCAGGATCTCTCTCTAGCCCCCAGCCACTACAAGTGACAGAACTGATCCTGAATTATTCACTCCATTTATCTCCTCTATTCAGAGACTGATTTTTCCTTCTTTGCTCAAAAAGGTAAAGGAGAAAACATAACCGATGATCAGGATCTCATGAAGCAGAGCCTAGAAGTGTAAGGAACGTGACAAGTGTGCTAGAGAGTGACTTCCAAGACAATTAAGAACCAACCACTGGTGCAAGAATGCTTTTAGGCAGAGGTCAAGGATTAAACGGACACAGACACTCTTCACAGTAGCAGGGGACAAGTTCAACAATACAGACTTGAATTGATGTGTTTTTCTTCTAGGGCCTTGGAATGTTAACTGTCCTATTTGGAAATAACATTTCATTTTATACCTGAAATTGTCTGCATTATTCCTCAGTCACATTGGAGGCAAAGTTGGAGGATGCATATTTTGATTTCTTTTGACAGCTAATGATTTTAGGGCTGTTGTCAAGTCTGGTTATTTCTGACAAATGCATGATTTTAAAATAGATAGAATACACATCTGAAGATATTAACACTTTGATTTTCAGGTAATTTGGGGGTTTAACAGTTAAATACCCACAGAAGTTGAAATCAACTACCAGGTAGGTCCTTTATTTTAAATAATGTGGTCCCTCTAATACAGTGCTATACAGAAATATAAGGCAAATGCAGGTCATAATTATGAGTTTTAATTTCTTAGTAGCCCCATTATTTAAAAAAAAACTGTTTTTGTTTAACACTATGTTACTTTAACATAAAAAGTTCTAGTCATGTCTTCAAGATCTTATGGTACATCTCAATTTGGATAGCATAGCCCTAAAATTAGATACTGAGCCTCTGCTTAATAAATATTTCAGCAAAACATTTTATTCCAAATTCTCACAAATGATCTTACAAAGCACTGAGAAAAAAAATCTTACTTGAAGAATTATTTCTCTAGAGGGTAAGAAAGAATTTAACCAATCTGTGAAATTGTTTGCTTCATTGAAGCCCTACTGATAGGGAAATATTTTTGGTACACACTTGTGTTAATAAGGGTTCTTTAATCCATATAAGGTGTCAAGTTGACAGAAGAACAAGAACCTAGACCCCATGTTAAAAAGCTGACAGTTCTTCTCTTGTAAGTAACAAATTGAGTTATTTAGGTTTCACGGTTATTGTGTTCTTTGCATAGTCATGTAAATTGAAGTGTGAATGATCTTGTGAGCTCTATTAATTATAGATAATGACTTGTCAAAGATATCCTACACTTGAAAAGGTGATTTGTTTCTGTTAGCGGTCATATTTATTATTGTGACAAGGCACGGATGGCCGTAAGCACCAAAGCATGGGTATGGCGTGGGTGCACTTTGTAACTACCAGTGTGATTGTTATTCAGATGATCATACAAAAAGGGGAATAAAACCTGTCAATGAGAAAGATGGTGGGTATGAATCAGTGGCTGACAATGAGTCCAATAGTCCCAATTTCTAGAAATAAAAAGGTAAATGTCAATTTTGTATGTGTGGCATGTGTGTTTTCATGTATATATGCAAAACAGATGTTAAGGTCTTCGGTCAGGAAATGAAAGGTTTAAACTCATTGTAGAGGCATGTAATAATAAGGGCATATGGAAGACACTGGAGTAACTAAATGGACAAAAATTAGCACTTTACAAAATGTGTGAATCCCCTAAACTTCGTATTAACGTCTTAAATTTTCATTTTAAAGACTCAAATTTTTAATACCATCTTTGGATGATTTAACCATGGCACCACACTCAAGCAATTAACTTTCTTGCTATTTTTTCCTAGACTTTTTCCTAATCCATTTTTCCTGTGGTTTAGCAACAGGCAACACGTTGCTTATAAATATTTCCCAGCAAGAAGGCTAGTCACCAGTAAACAAGAAAATATTGGTTCTTTTGTTTGCTCTAGGAGGGAAGGGATTAATCACCTTAATTACCATAGAAAATACTGCTTTAATTCTGTTCGAACCTAAGCAAGACAGGTAAGTGCATAGCTCATTTTACAGTAGATGACTGGCTAAAATAAAACCTCATTTATCAAGGGCTACACTTAACCCTAGAGAACATTTCTAGAATGACAAAGATAAGCACTTTGCTGTGTTGATAAAACATAACATGTATTCTAAAACTGTAATTTTCAATTGGCTTTGACTATCAAAGCCTATCATTTAAAAAAAATCAAAAAATCCACTGCCAGGAAAAAGGGCTTTCTTGGAAAGGATGTTTTTTGTTCACACAATCTGAAATCACTGCAGGCATTTAAAACTGTTGACACCTAGTGTGGGAATGGTACACCTGCCCTTTCAAACAACAGATTTGTCTTTTTCCGAGTCAGTTACAAACTGCTCTGCAGAATGAGATGTGTTTCCTTTGATTACATAAACAGGTAAAGAACAGATTCAAGAATGAACTTACCTTCCTGTTAAAAAAAAAAACATGGCTTTTTATAACTGAGTAATTATCAATACCATAAACCACAGGCATTCATGATGTTTTTTTATAAGAACTATTGCTTTTGTTGCATAAAGATCCAATTGTAAAGAAATGAAATTCCAGTTTGAGACAAATTGAGGAAAAATTAAGTTGTATCCATTGAGGATACAACTATTCAAAAATAAAGATTCTCCCAGTGTTCCAACAGTGACACTCTGAGCTGTTGTGACATGATTACAGCCCTAGAGACGTGGTTCTCAGTTCTACCTTGGGCCTTGGGTATCATCTGTTGTTTGGCTGGAAAGCAGCTCGCTGGCCCACTGACATCAAAAAATTTAAGTCGTGGAAATGAGATGGGAGGATTCCATCTGCCCATTTACCTGTCTTTGCCATAAGTATTTTGAAAATTGTAGAGGTCTAAAAAACTTTGCTGTTAGGGTAGTTGCTATGTAATTCGGTAAGGCCTACACTTTAAGAAACATGAAAACTGTTTTCTTAAGTCAGTCCAATGGTGCTATTTTACATATCAATACAGTTGGAAAGAAATACTGTTATTTTGGGCTGCAGCATTTCCTCTACAACTGCTGGAAGCCCATTTTGAAATTGGATAATGCATTGAAACAAAGAAGGAAAAATTATTTTAACCGTGTATAAACTTGGGACATTTGTACTTTCGGTTTTACCTAATTCTTTCATTAACAATCTGTTTGTGAATAATGTGTGTAAGACAAATTGAGGCAAAGAATAATTATCTGTGAAAGACTTTGTATATTAAACAAGTGATCCAAACCCTGATTGCAGTTTCTATACTTTTTTCCCCCCAAACAGACTGAAGTTTCTGCCCGTTTCTATCTGCAACATTCAAATACCTGACAAAAGCTTTCATAATGCTTTAGGTTTTTAAGCAGGTCTGAACATACTTGTTAATGGAGAAAGGCTAATTAGTAGGTTTGTCCTCAAATAATTACAAGGGGAAACCAATGGACATGCAATATTCGATTTTCAAGACATGCTTTTAAAAAGGAAAAAGGAAGGAAGTCACAAGTGTAATCTAGAGGAAAGACTGTCAACAGAAACGAGTAGCATTTTTCTACTGAGATTCAGACAGTTCATGGCTAAACACACATTACGAGAAGACCATGGATTCTCTTTCTAACCCAAGTTTGTTGCCCAGAAGCACCCTAGGCCAGGCTTGGCAATCAGGGGTGGGAAAAGAATGTGTTGTCGTCTTTTCTCTGCACTGCTATTTGAATGAGCTCTTTGTCTCTGACCTTTCAGCCTTCTCCCACCCCCCAAATCACAGCAAACCCTTCTAGATCGTTAATCAGTGTCACTGGGTTTCAACTAACGATCCCCCACCAAGTATCGGGACAGATTACCAAGTGTAAAGAAGGGAGAGGTAAAATAGAGGGGTAGCGTTTAAGCGCTGACCTGGAGGATGAGCAAACAACCAAGTATTGTCAGTCTTGCAAAAACTCGGGTGAGGGGGTGGCGCTGTGGCTTAACAGGTTAAAGCCATGGGCTGCAGTGCTGGCATCCCACAGGGGGCGCTATTCGAATCCCTGCTGCTTCACTTCGAATGCAGTTCCCTGATAAGGCACCTGGGAAAGCGGCAAAAGACGGCTGAAGTCCTTGGGCCCTGTACCCACATGGGAGAACCAGAAGTTGTGGCTCCTAGTGTTGGTAGGGCCCCGCCCTGCTCGTTGTGGTCATTTGGAGAGTGAACAAATGGATGGAAAGCTCTCTCTCCTCTCTGCCTTTCGGTTAAGTACATCTAAAAACAAAAAGCTGGAAAAGCGGGCAGAGGAAAGGCTAACTGCACAAGTTCTGAACAGGAAATAGCGAGCAAGACTGACAGACGAAGCCGGTCAACAAACAAGCTCTAATGCGAACCCCATACTTACTCACAGAGATGAAAGATGGACACACGCAGTGCCGTCTCTGCACTCTGTCTTGTCCCACAGTGGGAGACAAACGGAAAAGCACTCAGAGGACCAGATACTGCGACAGGAGGGAGGGGAGGGCCCCTGGTGCGGGCCATGAAATGCACACTGCAGCTCAGTCGTGTCACAGCCCGGAGGCACACAAGCTGTGGCTTCCTCAGAACCTGCCAAGTGAGGACAAACCTCTTTTCTCTGAAAAACAGGCGAGCAAATGTCACCCAAGCCTCCCACATCCTCACTTTCCTGGAGAAAGTCACAGGACACTCGAGGCCCAGCTCAGCTGTGACAGAGTCTAGTCGAAGTGGATACATGAAGGTCATGAGGTTGACAGCAAGAGGAGCAGGAATGGTGACCCCAGAGCCTGCACACAGCACAGGGGAGATACAGCAGCTTACGTGAGGATAAGAAATGGGGAGGGCACGACATCCAATTTGACTTTCATTCTACAAACACAAATATTTGCTAATTAAAGCAGATGGGGAGAGGGCACAGAAGACACAGAATTCATGACAACAGGGGCAGAGTGGTGACTTAAGAATGAGCGTTTCTGAGGAGACAATACAGAGCGGGAGCCAGGGCCCCGGCAGCATCTGTCCTTGAACGGAGTGGGCTGTTCTGTCTGGGGCTGCTCACACACTGCAGAGCCAAGCACGCCACTCTTCCTCTGTAGCTTCGGCTTACGGAGGCTCTTACAAGATATGCTACTGAGTTAAAAGGGTTTAGATAAAGGTAGCCCAAGTTATCACCCCCAAAAAACATTCTGTGTAGGAGAAATTACAAGCATCACTATGAGAAGTTGTCGCTGCCTATTTTGGCCCAGATAAGGGTGATGTGATTTTTATCATCATGTTCCCAAAATTTATTAAACAACTATGTATCTGTTCCAGTTCCCGGTAATTTAACTTGTTAGTTTTATCTTCTACTTAGATAGCATAGAGAGAACTAGGCAACAATGTTTAAGGGGAAAGAATTTGCTATTTTCACAACTCATTTATCTAACACTTCAGCATTGAGTATCAGAACAGATAAATCACAGTAAAGATAGTAAGAATTGTTTTATGAGTCAGTGTCATAACTATTTTGAGACTAAATATGAACCAAAACTCTACGCAACAAACATTATCTGTAGTCACTGCAATCACAAAACCACAAAAATTAAAGCTCATCAACCTGAGTTTTACCACTGAAAATTCAAGTTAGAATCATATGGGCCGGCGCCGTGGCTCACTAGGCTAATCCTCCACCTTGCGGCGCCGGCACACCGGGTTCTAGTCCTGGTCGGGGCGCCGGATTCTGTCCCGGTTGCCCCTCTTCCAGGCCAGCTCTCTGCTGTGGCCTGGGAGTGCAGTGGAGGATGGCCCAAGTGCTTGGGCCCTGCACCCCATGGGAGACCAGGAGAAGCACCTGGCTCCTGGCTTCGGATCAGCGCGGTGCGCCGGCAGCGGCAGCCATTGGAGGGTGAACCAACGGCAAAAGGAAGCAAAAGGAAGACCTCTCTGTCTACTCTGTCAAAAAAAAAAAATCATATGAATTATGGAAATAAAATTTATTTTTACCTTACAAATAAAAAAGTTATTTTAAATAAATTCAAAGCAACATAGTTGATACCGAGTTAACCTCACACAGCACTGTTTTCTCTGAAATACTTATACAGATTAAATTATAAAGATTATCACAGAGCTTGCATGTAACAAGCTCTGTGATAAAATTGTACATTTTTCATGATATTTGAAACACTGAATTATATTTCAAGTTAACCTATCTCTTGGAAGAAAAACACAAGCATTGGTGATCTAATCTTTACTTCTGTATCCAATCTATCACTTTTCACACACAAAAAAATTACACCATGATAATGAAATAATCTGGTCTCTTTCAACAAAGGGGATAAAGGACTTCAGGTTAGGTGTGGGAGATCAACAGTTTTAATTATTTTACCATTTCACTTTGGCTCAGAAGACAATGAATATATAATGAATATGCAATTCCATACCACACCATCCCCCTCTTTGACAAAGCAAGAAAATACGGTTAAGGGTAGAGTTAGTATGGCATTACCACTGGAAGGCACTTTTGCTGTCCTAACTCAAAAAATATCCACAGTAATCAATAGGAAACAGGTCATTGTTCATTCCACAAATGTGAGATCAAGCAGTCCTAAACACATGAGGAAAAAATTAAAACATTTTTGTCCCCGTATTGCTCCCTACAACTCCAATGAAAGCTTCAGCAAGTCGTTTCCACTGTAGCCACGTAATGTGAATGAAAAGCCACCTCCACACTGAAATAGACGTTCACACCATTTGTGAAACGGGATTTTCATAAAAGAATCCAACAGCAAATTCTTCTATGCGACTGTTTACCCAACCTGTGAGTGGGACTTGCAGCTCTATTTGCAACCCAACTGCAGACAGTCAGGCCACCGCAGTCATTTCCTCATCTGAGTCACTTGCTTCATCTTTCAGGTCCAAGTCTCCCAAGTCTCCCAAGTCTCCCAAGTCTCCCAAGTCTCCATCTACGGTTACAGTGGTTTTCTTCTTGCACTTCCTGGGAATGGCATCATTAGCACAAATTTTTCTCATTTTAATGTTTGGCAGTTTCTTCAGATCAAAATCCCATTCCCTGGATAAAATAAAGGGCACCGAGTGTTGGTAGGAACTTAGATGGAAAAGTAGAAGTTAGTCAAGATTCAAAACTGAAAGTAGCAGAGCAGTTTTTATAAATTTACACATTTTAATGAACCAGGAAATAAAAACCAATATCCTACGAACTAAGATGTTTTCCACATTTATTAAACTACAATATTAACAATTGCCAGAGAATCCCACATAATCAAAATTTCAAAATACATAAAAATAGTAGCAGAAACGCTCTTCGCTCCATTCTTTTATCATCTCTAACCCTGAAGTCCCCCTCCACCAGGCTACATGATGGCAAAGTCATAAAAGTCAGAAGCATGTCAGACGTGGCAAACCTTAAGTACCCAGTCACAAGAGGATCTCTCACACAGCAGCACATCCAACTTAGGTTTCAATAATCAAGCAACTGTCTCCTCATAATAACAAGGTTTCCCATCTTCAGTCTCAGTCCTTTCTGTGACAATTCTACGTTCGATCACTTTAGGAGCAAGGTGGAGACAGCCGAGAACTGAACTCTAACCAGCCCTAACTGAGCCAGATCTGCACAACTCCTGTTTTCCATTTTATTTAGAGGCAGAATATGCAGTATATTTTAAATTTCATATTTGAGTAACTTTATAGACACAAAACATTTAGGGCACAAAAAATCTTAAGCTTCATGTATCTAAATTATAGACATGATTTGCGTGAGCTAAAATGCAAACTACTCAAATATGATGAGTTGTATTAGCTAATTTAGTTTTTAGAAATTCAGAACCATAAAAATACTATAAAATAAGTTTAATGTTACAAAATCAGTTCCAAGCAGTATAACTGATTTCAAACTAATCTTAACAAAATTAAGATCAATCACAATGGCTTATTTAAGACCTAAATGATCAGTAGTCTTTTTTTTTTTTTTTTTTTTTTTGGTGTCAGAGAACCAGTGTTTAAAAACAAAACTGAAGTGTTCTATCAATCCTGCTGTTGTAATATTATCTTTTTAAAAAATAAGAACCTGGGAGGAACTGTAGCATCAAGTCCTTTAAAGTACTTTAAACTATTGGGAAAAACGATTAATACCATGTTGTTATCATTTTGGTGTGTATTAAGTGATTCAAATAAATACAACTGTGAATTATTCTTTCGATAACAGAGAAAAGGTTAAAATAAACTCCCGATTTTCTTTTAGCTGCAATGTCTAGACTCCAAAGTTCATGCTCACGTATTTTATATACATCTTCACAGGAACAACAGTAAGAGACACTCACCTAAATGTCTTCAGGTTACTTGCTGTTATAATGTCTGGAATCTCTGGAAAAGAAAATAATTTATATCTAGTAGGCAACATTTTCCAAATTGTACCATTTTTAATTTCTTAAATCATCTTGGATTCAACAAAAAACCATATAGCTATAATTAACATGAAAAGTATAAATGGCCAAGTTTAATAGGTGATTTAGACTTTAAAAAGTCTTTTTTTTTGTTTTTTTGTTTTTGTTTTTTTTTTGACAGAGTTAGACGCTGAGAGAGAGAGAGAGAAAGATCTTCCTTTTTCTGTTGGTTCACCCCCAAATGGCCGCTATGGCCGGCGCGTTGCACTGATCTGAAGCCAGGAACCAGGTGCTTCCTCCTGGTCTCCCATGGGGTGCAGGGCCCAAGGACCTGGGCCATCCTCCACTGCCTTCCCGGGCCACAGCAGAGAGCTGGACAGGAAGAAGAGCAATCAGGACAGAATCCAGCGCCCCAACCGGGACTAGAACCCGGGGTGCCAGAGCCACAGGTGGATTAGCCTAGTGAGCCACGGCGCCGGCCGTGAGAAGTTTAACAACACAGTTACGGCTGTGGAATGCAATGGATGCTTCAATATTTGCAGGAGTACACGATGCACGGACCAAGGCAGGGCAGTGAGCATCTCCACCCCCGTCAGAGCTGTCGAGCTCCTGCTAGCCAGTCGTGAAAGACTCGTAGGTCCCTGAACTACATCTTCCCCTTGTGCTGCAGAGCCGCTACAGACAGGCCGACATCTTTTTTTCTTTTTAAATGGTTCAACAGTATTCTTCTGTGCACACCTTCCACATTTTCTTTATTAATTCAACTACTCACAGGCATTTGATTCATGTCACACTGTGATTTTTACTGCAGCAAACACAGGAGTCTGGGTATTTCTGATAACTTAATTTCCTTTGCATATATACCCAGACGTGGGATACCTGGCATAATCTATTAGGTTTTAACGACCCCCGTACTATTTCCCATAACCAACTGTACTAACTTATATTCCCACCAACAGTGTGAATTCCTTTTTCCGGTGCAGGAGGTTAAACGTCTTGTGACAAAGACACCTGTTTCTGATCCAGATTCTGGCGACTGCACCTGAGAAGGCAGCAGAAGGTGGTCCAAATGCTTGGGGTCCTGTATCCCATGTGGGAGACCCACACAGAGTTCCAGGCTCCTGGGTTAACCTGGCCCAGCCCTGACTGCTGTGGCCATTTGGGAAGCAAACCAGCAGACAGAAGGTCTCCCTCTCCCTGTCACTCTTTCAAATAAATAAATCATTTAAAAAAAAAAAAAAATCTTTTCTCTGCATCTGCCAACTACTTTGATCACTACAAACTGCATACAACAAGTGAAGTGTACTAGGGGGTTCCAAGATGGTGGATCAGCAACAGTGTGATCCGATTTAGGCTAAGCAAAAGTGGAGAAGGTACACTCTCAGAGAAGGGCTGCAGGGGAGGTCATGAAAGCAGTAGAGATGGCCCAGACCCACGTGGAGGTTGCAGACATGGAGTAGGAGCAACAAAACAAAGAACAGACACGGAGAGAAGAGCAGCGAAACAAAGAACCCAGCCGCTTGGATCTGGGGGAGAAAGCACCCACCCAGGTAAACCAGCGAGATCAGACTACACGGGACAGCTGGAGGAAGAGCTTGGTCAACTGCACCATTTCTGGGTCTGGCTCAGATCCCTCACAAAGGGGGGGGGGGGGTGAAGCAGCATCTCTCTCCTCTCCCCGTTACGGCAGTGACCTGCAGCCAGCAGTGGGAGGGCTGGTGCCATTTCTGGACACAGGCAGGTGGTGAGACTGAGAAGACATTGTGACTATGTGAGAGGAGGTAGGTGTAGCTGGGTTCTGGGCAATCAGAGTGCCGCCGCACAATCTCAGAGCTTATGTGGTTCATCCAGCAGTGCAGATGCACACACGGGGGCTAACACCTGGGCATTCCTCAGCTTAGAGAAGGGGTGGTCACGCCAACACAGGTGACCGTTCCTCTCCTTCCAGTTATCAGAGAGCTACCACACCCAACTTGGGTGTTACCCTGGATACTCACCCCATCCTGGAGCACTGAGCAGAGCTCCCTGGCCACACCCACCATGCACTCCTTGGTATTTACTAAAAGTGTAGACATTCCACTAAGCCACAGAGGCACAGCTCAAAGATAAAAGCCATCAGAGGAAGAAAAAAAAAGTTCAACAAATGCCTAGAAATAAATGAAGAAATTCAAGAAACAAGAATAAGGAAGACAGCAGAGTAAGGAAGACACCATGACCCCCCCACACACACACACACAAAAAGAACACAACATCTCAGTATCAGAATGTGAAAATGAAGAGATTGAGGAAATGCCAAAAATGAAATTCAAAAAGTTACCTACTCAAATGCAATCAGAAGCAAAACCAAGAACAAAAGCAAACCATATGATATGAATATTTTTCCCATAAAATTGAGGTTTTAAAAGAAATCAAAATGAAATATTGGAAATGAAGAATTCAATATATCAAAAAATGCAGTGGAAAGACAGAGTTGCTGAAGCACAATGAATATCTGAACTTGAAGACAAATCTCTGGAAATTTTAGTCAGACCAAAAAACAAATTAGAGAATAGTTTGAGATCTATGGGATCTATCCAATGACCCAACATATGGATGGGTCTTAGGAGTGCCTGAAGGTGTGGGAAGAAGGTACTAGAAGGCCTTTTTAGTGAAGTAATTACAGAAAACTTGCCCACTTTGGAGAAAGATAGCAATGTTCAAATAGAGAAAGCAGATAGAACTCCTGACATGACCAGAAAAGATCTTCACCACAACACGCTGCAGTCAAAATTTGCATAAAGATTCTAAAATATGCACGAGAGAAATGCCAGGTTACTTTCAGAAGATTTCCAATTAGACTCACAGCTGACTTCATCAGAAAACGTACAGGCTAGAAGTCAGTGGCAAGATATAGTCCAAGTCTTAAGAGATAAAGAACTGTCAACCCAAAAAACTCATTATGAAGAAGCTTTTAACCCAAAAAGCTTTCATTTATAAATGAAGGTAGAACAAAGACATTCCATAACTAACAGAAATTCAAAGACTTTGTCACCACTCATCCAGCCTTACAAAAGATACACACACAAACTCAGAAAAAAAAACTATCATGAAAGAATGCCAAGACAGAAAATCCCCCAGTAAAAGTAAAAATAAAATCCAAACTAAATGACAGGAGTACTCACAGAAAAATGGCAGGGCCGAGTAGTGACTTATTAATAGATACTACGAATGTAAATGACCTCCACTCTCCAGTTAAAAGATACAGACTGGCCAAATGGATTAAAAAAACAAGACCTCATCAATAAAGATACATGCAGACTAAAAGTGAAAGAATGGAAAGATATTCCATGCTAATGGAAAGAAAAAAAAGGGCAGGTGTAGCCATCCTATTATCAGACAAAATAGCCTTTAACACGAAAACTGTAAAGAGACAGATAAGAACACTATGTCATGATTAAGGGATCAATACAACAGGAAGACATGGCTATAATAAATGTATGTGCACCCCCACACGGGAGACCAGGAGGAAGCACCTGGCTCCTGGCTTCAGATTGGTGCAGTGCACCAGCCACAGAAGCCACTTGGGGGGTGAACCAACGGAAAAAGGAAGACCTTTCTCCCTGTCTGTCTCTAACTCTGCATTTCCAAAAAAATAAAAATAAAAATGTATGTGCATCCAATTACAGGGAACCTGGCTATTTAAAAGAACTGGTAACAGAGGTAAAGGGAAAAATAGATTCCAATATTATAGTAATGGGGGTCTTCAACACCCACTTTCAAAGGATAGATCAGCCAGGGGGGGGGGGAAAGCCAAAACAGCAAAGCTAATCAACACTATGAACCAAATGGACCTGATACATACAGAACATACCACCCAATAGTTGCAGAACACACATTCTTAGCAGTGCATGGAATTTTCTTTTCTCTAGCATAGACCGTATACTAGGCCATAAAGAAAGTCTCAGCAAATTAACAACAACAAAAAAATCATACCATGCACCTCTCTGATCACAATGAATTGAAGCTCAAAACCAACAACTCATAAATCTCAAGAACATATGCAAACACATGGAGATTGAACAATATGCTCCTAAATAAATAGTGGGTCATAGAAGAAATCAGAAGAGAAATCAAAAAAATTTTGTAAACAAGTGATGACGATACATCATAAAAAAACTTATGAGATATGGGGCCAGCACTGGGACATAGCTGGTAAAGCCGCCACCTGCAGTGCCCACACCCAAGCCAGTTTGAATCCCAGTTGCTCCACTCCTGATACAGCTCTCTGCTATGGCCTGGAAAAGCAGTACAAGATGGCCCATGTCCTTGTGCCCATGCACCCTTGTGGGAAGACCTGGAAGAAGCTCCTGGCTTTGGACTGGCGCAGCTCCAGCTGTTGCAGCCAAATAGGGAGTGAACCAGCAGTTGAAAGACCTCTCTCTCTGCCTCTCCTTCTCTGTGTGTAACTCTTTCAAATAAATAAATCTTTAAAAAAAAAAAAAAAGGCTTATAACAGAAGCAGTGTTAAGAGGGAAGTTTATAGCAATCAGTACCTACATCAAGAAACTGGAAAAAGTTACCAAATAAATGAGCTGACAGTGCATCTCAAGGACCTAGAAAAAAAACCACCAAACCAAACCACACACTAGTAGGAGGAAAGAAATGATTAAAAATAAGGAGAAATAAAATTGAAACAAAAAAAGATCAGAAGAGTTTTTTTCAAAAGATAAAACTGACACACCACTGGCCCAATCAGTGGAGAAAAAAAAAAAAAGACAAATGAATAAAATCAGAGGTGAAAAAGGATATTTAACAGATACCACAGAAATAAAAATAATCATCAGGAATTACTACAAACAGCTATAAAGCAACAAACTGGGAAACCCACAAGAAACAGATAAATTCCTGGACATACACAACCTACCTAAATAGACTCATGAAGAAATAAAACATCAACAGACCAATAACCAAAATAGAGATTGAATCAGTGGTAAAGACCCTTCCAACAAAGAAAAACCCAGGTCCTGAAGCTTCACTGCTGAATTCCAGCAGATAGTTAAAGAGGAATTAATTCCAATTATTCTCAAGCTATTCAAAAACAATTTAAAGGGAGGGATTGTTCTCAAACTCCTTCTATGAAGCCTGCATGGCCTTAATCCTTAAACCAGAAAAAAGACATGACAGAGAATGAGATCTACAGACCAGTATCTCTGACAAACATAGATGCAAAAATTCCAAACAAATACTAGCCAATCGAATCCAAGGACACATCAAAGATCATTCACCTGAACCAAGTGGCATTTCTCCCCAGTATGCACGGATGGGTCAACCCTCACAAATCAATAGATATAATACATCATTTTAACAAACTGAAGACAAAAAGCCATATGGTTATCTCAACAGAAGCAGAGAAAGCATTTGATAAAATACAACATCCTTTCATGTTGAAAACATTAAGCAAATTGGGTATAGAAAAATTCCTCAACACAATCAAGGCAATTCATGACAAACTGATAAAGGATTAATAACCAGCATATATAAAGAGATCAAGAGACTCAACAACTATAAAACAACCCAGTCAAGAAGTGGGCAAAGGACCTAAAACATTTTTCAAGCGAGGAAATTCAAATGGCCAGACACAAAAAAAATGTTCAGGATCACTAGCCATCAGGGAAATGCAAATCAAAACCACAAGTGGGTTTCACCTCACCCTATTAGAATGCTAATTTCTCTATGAAAGCCAAGCAACAAATGCTGGTGAGGATGCAGAGAAAAAGGCACCCTAATCCACTGTTGGTGGGAATGTGAACTGGTCCAGCCACTAGGGAAGACAGTATGGAGGCATCTCAAATCTGGGTATAGTCCTACCATATGACCCAGCCACCCCACACCTGGGAATTTACCCAAAGGAAATGAAATCAGCATATTAAAAAGCGATCTGTACCCCCATATTCATTTCAATTTATAATAGCTAAGATATGCAATCAATCCAGATGTCCATCAACTGAAGACTGGATAAGGAAATTATGCACCATAATTTGTCTTGCTATGTGTTTAAGAGAAACAGAACTGCAATGAGCATACCCAGGCCGTAGCCTTCATACTGCTGCCGCTCACGCTCCATCGTCTGCTTGATGACCGTCTCCCGGGAACAGTGCCGCCTTCCCTGTCTGTCTTTGATGCTGTTATGTAACTCAATCTGCTCCAGCTCACTGCTGAATCGATTTAAATACCTGAAAAACAAGGATATGATTTGCATTCCAACAATACAGGTTAGAGCCTGTGTTAATTCAGTTAACATTTAATCCTTAGCCCTCACCCGTCCTTTACGTTTTTATTATTCCTCTGTTCACATCCTCAGATCTCTATACCCCTTCTCTGGATAATGTGAGCATTTCTTATTTTCAGTGACAAAAATCACATGCTACTATTGAAGGCATGTTGAATCACAGACACTCATATTTAATCACCTACTGGACATCTCCATTTAGATGTCCCCTCATGGTTTCCCCTGTAACACATCAAAAATAAACATGTTGGGGACATTTTTCTGGCACAGCAGGTTAAGCCACCGCCTGTGACGCTGGCATTCCATTTGGGCACTGATTGTGTCCCAACTGCTCCACTTCCAATCCAGCTCCCTGCTAATGGCCTGAGAAAGAACCAGAAATTGGGCGTGGGGGGTGGGGTTCAGCGCTGTGACTTGGTGAGTGAAGCCACCACCTGCAGTGCGGGCATCCCATGTGGGTGCTGGTTGAGTCCTGGCTGCTCCACTTCTGATCCAGCTCTCTGCTATGGCCTGGGAAAGCAGTAGAGGTTGCCCCAACTCCTTGGGCCCCTGCACCCTCGTGGGAGACCTGGACAAAGCTCCTGGCTCTTGGCTTCAGATCGGTGCAGCTCCAGCTATTCTAGCCAACTGGGGAGTGAACCAGTGGAGGGAAGACCTCTCTCTCTGCCTCTCCTTCTCTCTCTGTGTAACTATGACTTTCCAATAAATAAATCTTTAAAAAAGAAAAAAAAAGATGGCCCAAGTGCTTGGCCCCTGCACCCAAGGAGGAGACCTAGAAGAAGCTCCTGGCTTCGGCCTGGACAAGCCCTTGCTGTTGTGGCCATCTGGGGAACGAATCAGCTGATGGTGGGCCTCTCTCCGTCTCTCCCAACAATTCTTTCAAATAAATATTTAAAAAATAAACCGAGTTGGAAGATCCAAGATGGCTGAACAGGGTGGAGGCACACTGACTTCAGCTGCTCTGGAATACTCAAAAGGACCATATTTCCAGGGTCTGAAAATTTTCAGCAAAGAACTAACGAAACCAAGACTCTGTAGGACAAAAGGCAATGCAGACATGGCTGCTGTGTGCCGCCATCTTACCGCATTAAGGTAGGGAGAAACTCCCACACGCCTGCCACTCAGTGTCAGCGCAGAGGGAATTCTACCAACACCTGCTGACTTCCACTTCACCCTGAGGGTCTGAGCAACTTCTGGGCTTGCAGCAAGGAAGCCACGTCGTCTCCTTCCCCTCCCCGACCCCTGCAGAGCGGCATGCTTGGCAGCAGGAAGTCCAGCAGTGTCCTCTGTTCCACGTCCACCAGCACCAGAGTCTGAGTCGGGGCACAAGTCAGATGCCCTGTGTCCTGCAACTGCAGGAGTTCCGGGGCATTAGCCCCACAGCTGCGGTAACACAGTTTATGTGAGCTCACCTTAGCTTCTGGGAGCTAACATCAAAAGTGGCCAAAGAAAAATCCATCTTCACCCTGGAAGATCTGGGTAATGACCCCTTTATAAACTACAACGCCTGGACTATAACAACTAGTTCTAACTTTCTCAATGAAGAACCAACCTGCACTCCCCTCCTCTGGACTCATGCCCTCCAGAGCAGAATCTGCTGTATCCCTTGTAGGACTAAGCAGGGTCCAGCTCACATCCCCTAGTCCTAGGACCAGGGCTGATGGTAATATAAGCTACAGCACCAATTGGGCACTCCTGGCAGGACCTGCAGAAGAGTCCCTTTGCATCACATAGTCCTACAGCCACAGCAATGGGTGCCACAAGCATCGGCATCACAAGGGGACAGCCACAATTTTCTCCCTCAACACCAAGAGCAAGGCCCTGGCTTTCACCATCACCAGAGAGACTGATACTGAACTCTCTGTGGACCAGAGATGCACACCCTAGGTAACCCATGTTCACACGTCTATCACTACAAACTGCAGCAGACTGGACTACTGTGTCACTTAGACACGCCTGACATTAGGACAAAGGAAATCACCCAGACTACACTCCTGGGCTCACCTAGAAACAAAGCCAAAGAAACAAGCCAAGTGATACCTTGCATTCCAACTAAACCATACACTGTTTTACAATAAAACCTGACTCCATAAAGAAGGGATGATCACACCAGATCCAAATATGTCAACATTGGGACACCGAAGACTTGAAGAAACAAGGTAGCATGAAGCCTCCAAATGAACATAATAATCCTCAAACTTAGACCCTGAGACGAAGCGAATGTATGAAATGACAGACACAGAACTCAACATGATTGTAAAGAAACTCAATGAGATGCAAGAGAATCCAGGTTGATTAAGAAACGAGGAAATCAATGAGTGTATTAATGAAAATCCACTAAGGAGATAGAACCCTTTAAGAAGAATCCAACGAAGTTTTGCAGATGAAATCTTCAACCGGTGACTGAGTGCTTTAACAGAATAGAACAAGTGCAGGAAAGAACCTCTGATCTCCAGGCCAGGAATTCTGAAATAACCCCATCAGACAGAAATAGAAAGTTATTAAAATCTACATGAAATATGGGATACTATCACACGACTAAATATTCTTATTATGAGTACACATGAAGGTGAGGTAAAGAAAAAATGGTTGAGAATTGTTGCTGTGGATTCATTCTGAGAGGAGGAGCGTGGTGGGGGCAAGAGGCACGGAGTCATCACACAGACCACAGGAGTCGGGTGAAAGCGGGCCAGAGGGGAGCCGGGGCAGACTCGTTTATTTCAGCTTAGACAGCAAGGCAGCCAATCCAGTCAAGGGGCAGTTTATGCCCTAACCAATCACAGCCCGTTGCCAGGCAGGCTTCGTTGCCAGGTGGTTTCCCAGAGGGTTTCTGAAGCCATTCCTAAGTAACTGACGCTCCCTTGCCAGTGGCCATCTTGGCATGGCCTTCTCATTCCAGAGAATCTGCTAAAAGATATAGCTGAAAATTTGCCAGGCCTTGAGGAAGATGTGGACACCTAGACACAAGAAGCTCAAAGAACCCCAAGCAAAAAAAGAAAAGATTTTCTTGATTGTATTAGTCAAATTGTCAAAACTTAAAGGACAAAATCCTAAAGAAACTAACAGAAAAGCATGAAATTACATATAAAGGGAAATCAGTATTATTTACATCAGATTTCTAAGTGGATCCACTATAAGCTAAAACAGACTGGGAAGATATAGACGTCTTAAGAAAAAAAAATGAAAAATGAAACTTCTAACCAAGGATATTATATCTAGTGAAGTTATCCCTTAAAAGTACAGAAGGGAGGCCGGCGCCGTGGCTCAACAGGCTAATCCTCCACCTTGCGGCGCCAGCACACAGGGTTCTAGTCCCGGTCGGGGCGCCGGATTCTGTCCCGGTTGCCCCTCTTCCAGGCCAGCTCTCTGCTGTGGCCAGGGAGTGCAGTGGAGGATGGCCCAGGTGCTTGGGCCCTGCACCCCATGGGAGACCAGGAAAAGCACCTGGCTCCTGGCTCCTGCCATCGGATCAGCGCGGTACGCCGGCCGCGGCGGCCATTGGAGGGTGAACCAACGGCAAAGGAAGACCTTTCTCTCTGTCTCTCTCTCTCACTGTCCACTCTGCCTGTCCAAAAAAAATAAATAAATAAATAAATAAAAATAAAATTCCTTTAAAAAAAAAAAAGTACAGAAGGGAGCCCAGCACTGCGGCACAGCAGGCTAAGCCACCGTCTACAGTGTTGGCATCCCATATGGGTGCCGGTTCAAGTACTGGCTGCTCTACTTCTGATCCAGTTACTTGGGAAAGCAGTGGAGGACGGCCCTAGTCCCAGGGCACCTGAATCCACGAGGGAGACCTGGAAGAAGCTCCAGGCTCCTGGCTTCAGCCTGGTCCAGTCCCAGCCATTGGGGCCATTTGGAGAGTAAGCCAGAGTATGGAAGATCCATCTCCTTAGCTCTAGCTCCACCTTTAAAATAAAGATTTTTAAAAATGAAAGAAGTTAAGGAGAGGAAAAGGTGCCGTGGCATAGGTCAAGCCTGAGTCTGCAGCACCAGCATCCTATATGGATGCCGTTTGAGTCCCGACTGCTCCACTTCCGACCCAGCTCCCTACTAATGTGCCTGGGAAAGCAGCAGCAGATGGCCCAAGTGCTTGGGACCCTGTACCCATGTGGGAGACTTGGATGAAGTTCCTGGCTTTGGCCCAGCCCAGTCCTTGCCATTGTGGCCATTTGGAGAGTGAATCAGCGAATGGAAGACTTCTCACTTGGCCTCTGCCTCTCCTTCTCTGTAACTCTTTCAAATAAATAAACTCAAAAACAAACAAAGACAAAGTATTTTCCAGATAAGCAAAAACAGAATTCACCAGCACCAGGCCAGTCTTACTAGACATTCTGAAGGGCATCATGCATTAGATTAAACATGAACACACTGGACAGCACCAAATTCACTAACACAGCAGGCAGAATCATTATCCAATTAACAAACTGACAGGTCTTAGTTCTTATCAACAGTAACACTGAATTTAAATAAAGTCTCTCATCAGGATACACGTTGGCTGAATGGATAAAAATCTGTGACCCCACTATATCCTGCCTAGAAGAAACTCATTTCACAAAGATACACATAGACACTAAGAGAAGGGTTGGAGAAAGATACATCAGGCAAAGGGAAACTAAAAATGAGCAGGAATAGCGACTCTGGCATCAGATGAAACAGACTCAGGTCAAAAACTGCAAAACAAGGTAAACAAGAGCATGTATTTTGATAAGTTCAATTCAGCAAGAAGACATATCACAAATATATATGCACCCAACCCAAGAGCATCTAGATATATAAAGCAAATAATAGAGCTAGATGGGGAGACAGATGCCAATACGATAATGTTGGCTGACTTCAACACCTCACTCAACAATGGACAGATCTTCCAGACCAAAAAATAAGTAAAAAAAAAAAAAAAAACACACACACACACACACACACACACAATTGATACTGCTAAGA